CCCTCCGTCAGCATCGAGGCCGGGCTTCGCGCCAATGCCAAACGACCTTCCCTTCGCCGAGCCAGATAATAATGGGGCGCTAGAGGTTCTTTTGTCGCCTTTGGAAATTCGATTCGACGCTTCGCTGGCATATTTGCTTGCGGTCGTAGCTGGAAAGCTGTTGGATGCACTGAAGAGCAAAGACAGCCTTGCGCCCGCCCCAAAGACGGCTGCAAAGCCGCAGCAAGAATCAACGATGCCCGACATCAATGTTGTATTTGAAAAGATTTCACTACACTTCCTTCATCAATTGGGCGGTGTTGCTGATACAGCCGAGAGAATACTGGGCTCTCCCGGTTTGCAGATGCAACCTGAAATTCTACTACGAACGGATCTTGATAAACTCAACATATCACTCAAGTCATCGAAGAAGGGTCTCGAAACGACTGTAGATCTCGAAAAGTTCCGCTTCGGCTACGCAAGGGACGATATCATCTCATTCGACCAGAGCCTCCAGATGAGGGCCTCTGTTATGGACAAGTTTCCTTCAGCCGGCTCTGACGTGACTGTGAAGGTGGTCAAGTCGGCCGACTCAATTCGGACCGAAGTAACTACATTACCACTACTGATACAGCTTGATTTGCAAAGACTGGACGAGACGTTCAGTTGGTTTGGCGGCTTGAGCAGTTTCCTTAACATGAGCTCCTCAATGTCATCGAATGCTTCGCCGTCCGTCAGAGCGCCGGTACTACCACCCCCTAAACCCCGCGGAGTCCGGTTTGACGCTCCAATCAACCCGGACGACAAGTCGGCCTCGGCAGAAAACAAGATTGATATGCGAATAGGGGGCTTCAATCTGGAACTGAAGGGCAGAGAGTGCAGCGTTGGTTTGGAGACGAGTGCAGTCAAGATGGTAAGCCGAGATTTAGGCATCGGTTTCGCAATCAGCAAAGTGCGTTTGGCAGGGCCGTATATCAGGAATTCCCGAGCAGAGCCGCCCATTTCCGCCGAGATTGGAGGTGTACGCTTCGAGTACCTCGCGACGCCGAAGGACAAGGACCTCGAAAGGCTCCTCGAACTCATTATCCCGTCCAAGGCCAAGTTCGACCAGGGCGATGATGAAATCATGGTGGACACGCTCTTACGACAAAGGCGCAAGGGCGGGGTTCTGCGAGTGACTTTCGACCAGTTGAACGTAAGGGTCGATCGCATACATCAACTGAATTGCCTCCCCGCGCTGGGCGAAGAGGTTGCCCGACTGGCGACCGTCGCAAAATACCTCCCAGAAGATGACAGGCCTGGCATCCTGCTTCTGGCCGAGGTCAAGGAGCTCGGTGCGGTCATCGACTTGGGCGGCAAGCTTGGCACGATCAATGCGAACCTGAAGAACTTTGAAGTCGCTCAGATTACAGTGCCCTCCTTGGTGGCATTCGGCGTCCACGCCATTTCCGTTAATCGCAACCATCGAGAGGAACTTGTGAGCTCTTCAACAACACTACCGCCGGGAACGCTTACCCAAGGCCCAGTCCTTATGGTACGCATGATTGGGGACGAGATGGAGCCGGTGATCAAAATCAAGATGCGCGATATCACAGTCGACTATCGAGTGCCGACGATCATGGATGTTCTTGGACTCGGGGAGGATGCTACACCACAGGATTTCGAAGCCAGCCTTGCCGCCTCTGTGGCCAATCTCGGCGAACAAGCACACTCTGCCCTGACCGGCAAGAAGCCTCAACCCGCACGCATGACTGAACCTACCCGACCGAATAGTAAGCCTATGACGGTCGACTTGGTCCTCCGCGATTGTTTGATCGGTCTGAACCCACTGGGGCTTCCCTCGAAACTCCTCATCGCCCTAACTGATGCTCGGCTTCAAGTGGTCCTTCCAAAAGACGTGGATACCACGGCCAACTTGGATCTCAACAAGGCCTCGATCTTGCTCATTGACGACATTACTAACATAGGAGCGAACTCTACCGTAAACCGTCGGCAGTCCGCGGATATGTCTTCCCAACAGGTCTCGCGACTTGTTTCTCAAGGCTACGTGAGCATCTGCTACATCTCATCTGCAAAGGCAGGCGTTAAGGTGTCGGAAAGCCGTGATGATGGTGAAAAACATATCGATGTCGAGCTCCGTGATGATCTACTTGTGCTGGAGACATGCGCCGATTCGACCCAGACCCTCATCACTTTGGCCAACGCGCTGACGCCACCTACTCCACCGAGCAAGGAGAACAAGTACCGCACCTCAGTCGTCCCTGTCCAGGATCTCTTGGCTTCGATTTCTGCCGAGGCCTTTGGGCGAGCAGAAGGCGATTATGACTTTGACAAAGACTTTGAGCTCGCTCAGGAGCTAGGGGGCAGTGATGAAGACGATATGTCAGGCGATGGCAGCCCACTACAAATTGACTCACGATACTATGAGGACGCCGGCCCTTCGGAGCCTCTTTTCGACGCAGAGGGCTCCATCACATCGAACGCTACAACGACTCAAGATACACATGATGGGGTCTTGCTTACGAGTTTTAACGCAAGTGCATCACACCATTCCGATGATGGCAGTGACCTGGTGATACACGAGAATTTCTTCGATAAGGGACCCGAGACCGACGGTAGAGCCCAGGTCTGGAACTCGTCGAAGAACAGCTATGACCAAGCGCCAAAGGAGCTTGTTAAGAGAAGCCCACTTCGAGTTTCGGTCCGCGACGTGCACGTCATTTGGAATTTGTTCGACGGATACGATTGGGAGCGCACGCGCGATGTCATCTCCAAGGCTGTACGAGATGTTGAGGACAAGGCCTACGAACGTCGCCGCAGATCAGAGCGTGCTGTTTTTGAAGACGATGCGGAGGAAGATGAGACAGTGATTGGGGATTTCCTCTTCAACTCCATCTACATCGGCATCTCCACAAAGCAAGATCCCCGAGAGCTCGCGCAGATGGTCAACCAGGAGTTAAATGATAACGCCACAGAGACTGAGTCTCTCGCGACGACAGCCTTCACAACGACAACTGGCCGAACAGGAGCAGTTAGGCCTAAGAAGAGATTGAGGTTGAACCGGAGCAAGCACCACAAGATCACGTTCGAGCTGCAGGGAGTCAACGTTGATCTGATTGCCTTCCCGCCTGACTCTGGCGAGACCCAGAGTTCTATCGACGTACGGATCCAGACTTTGGATGTGTTTGACCACGTCCCAACCTCTACCTGGAAGAAGTTTGCAACCTATGACCAAGATGCCGGCGAGCGGGAGATGGGCACCAGCATGGCCCACCTCGAACTGCTCACCGTTAAGCCGCAGCCGGATCTTGCGGCTTCGGAGATGGTTTTAAGAGTCACTCTGTTGCCACTTCGACTCCATGTTGACCAAGATGCGCTCGACTTCATTACGAGATTCTTTGAGTTCAAGGACGACAGCGCCCCCGTCCACAGTTCGACGAGCGATGTGCCGTTCCTGCAGAGAGTCGAGGTCCACGACATTCCCGTCAAGCTGGATTTCAAACCCAAGCGAGTCGACTATGCCGGCCTCAAATCGGGCCGAACCACGGAGTTTATGAACTTTATCATTCTGGACGAAGCACGTCTGACACTGAGGCACACCATTATTTATGGTGTTTCTGGTTTTGACAGAATGGGCAAGATCCTCAATGACATCTGGATGCCGGATGTCAAGGGCACTCAGTTGGCTGGCGTTCTCGCAGGTCTCGCGCCAGTAAGAGGCATTGTCAATATTGGTAGTGGATTCAAGGAACTTATTGAGGTTCCCATCAAGGAATACAAAAAAGACGGACGCATCGTTCGAAGCATTGGAAAGGGCGCAGCGGCGTTTGCACGCACCACGGGCACCGAAATGGTCAAATTTGGGGCCAAACTGGCCATCGGAACGCAATATGCTCTGCAAGGCGCCGAGGGTCTGCTCAACAAGCCCCAGACTGACAACACGTGGGAAGAGGCTGATCTCGATCCAGAAGAGAAGAAGCAGATCTCTCTGTACGCGGATCAGCCCACCGGTGTCATTCAGGGCTTGCGCGGGGGCTACTCGAGCCTGACGAGAGACTTGAACATGGCCCGCGATGCCATCATTGCGGTTCCGGGTGAGGTGATGGATAGCTCAAGCGCGCAAGGTCTCGCCAAGGCCGTGCTGAAGCGGGCGCCTACCATTATTTTCCGGCCGGCCATTGGAGCTACCAAGGCCATCGGACAGACGCTCATGGGCGCGACGAATAGCCTGGACCCGCAGAACAGGCGGAGAGCCGAGGAGGTGAGTTTTCTGAAGCCGGGTTGCATCTTTGTGAAGATATCTTTACTGACTATGCGATTAGAAATACAAGAGGCATTAAAGATTCCTGTGGGAAGTTCTTTCTTTACAAGAAATGCACACGCATTACATACACCAGATACCAGGAATAAGGCATTCGGGACTTTTTTTTACTTCCAACTCCCTTTTTTCTATTGTTTACTCAATTCATTTGCCGCATGAGACCGCATCATAGACTGGCGAAGGAGGACTTTCCAATTTTTCGTCTTGCAAAGTATTAAACAGGTTGTTATTTCGCGAATTGGTCGATCATCAGTTTGGGCCTCTCTTTCTCCCTTTTGTCATTGATTCAGCCTGGGGATATGGGAAATTGGGATGGGAAAGGTTTTCTGATTTTGTTCTTTGGCGAGGGGGGGGGGGGCTGAGAAGAAGTCAGTTGGAGCGAAAAGAGGGTTGTAGACTGTCTTTGAATCATCGTAGTCCCCGTAGGGTCGTTGACAATCATACCTTAGATTTACTGAACGAGAGAGAGATGTCTGTCGGAGGTGATGACGAGAGCTTTTGAAGTTGAAAGCGGGTTGGGCGCTGGATTTGGCAGTACGAGACAGTCCGATGATGGAGTGCCTTTGCTGTTGCTGTGAGTCCGTGTAGCATGAGGTGACAATATGGAATGCTGGATGTCGCGGGGACGGAAACAATTATATGAGATTAGGTACTGTTGACTTGACTGTGATGTCTGATTGTATGAAGTTTGGGTCACTAACAGCCAGAACACGGCAGAGTCTCGTTGATAGGCAGATCAGGTCAATATGCATCTCAGTATGCGATCATACCCCGGGTATTATATTTTTTTTTCAAAGCCTATTGTCGACGTAGACATGTATCTAATGAGCCCCATTACTCATGGCCGGTTATCCCAATATCTCAAAAATCTGAACAGCAAAAAATCAAAACCAATAAAAGCCATCGAGGCAGCAGACGTCTCCCCTCATTAACTCCCCCATCACTTCTTTGCTCACCGATCAAAACTTATCATCGACCCCCTGCGCCACCTCAATGGCCTTCCGCTCCCGGTTGTAGTCAACCCACCACCGGTGACTCTCCTCGGTCCCCGTCCACTCCCCCGTAACGGCATCAATCTCGTCCCACGGCTTGGGCGCCAAGATGTAATGCACGTTCTTCACCTCCTCGTCCCGCCAAATCTCCCCGTGCACGCCCTCCCACCGCAGCGTCTTGAGCGCGTTGTACACGTACGGCAGCGCCACCCACCGGCCCCGGTACAGATCCGACAGCAGGCTCTGGTCCGCAAAGTCCATGTCCATGGCGCCCTGCTCCATGTGCTTCACAATCTGCCGGAACAGCGCCTCGGACGGGTTCACGACCTGCAGGCCGCCGTTCATGAAGCCCAGGGGCGAGGCCGTGACGGGGTCCGGGCCTGTGTGCTGCGCCGTGTCCGGGTCGGCGTGCTGCGTGCTGAAGGCGCAGTTCTCGGGCGTCCAGTCGGAGGGGTAGTGAGGCTTCTTGAGCGGGTTGCACACGCAGGCGTGGCCGGCGGCGAAGACGCGGGTGCTCGGGTTCTTGACGGCCAGGTCGTCGAGGGTCGGGCTCTTTGGGGGGCTGCCACCGCCGATGGCGGCGCCGGGGGTCTGCTCGGCGGCGAAGTCGCCGTCGTCGAGCTCGAGCTCCATGAGCTCGTCCATGTTGCGCAGGACGAGCATGTCCGAGTCGAGCTGGACGACGCGGGCGTACTGCGTCAGGGAGAAGGGGGAGAGCTTGCTCCAGCAGTCGTAGAAGCGCGGGTCGTTGGAGTAGTCGCGGCCCTTTGTCGGGAGGAGGTACTCGATGCGCTGGGCGGGGATGCCGCGGCGCTCGAGGGCGGCGAGGCCCTCGGCGGGGAAGGTGTCTGTGTAGAGGGCGACGAGGGGGTAGGCAGAGCCGGACTTGATGAGGGAGTGGTTGAGGGTGAGGAGGCCTGAGAGGTAGTCGAGGTTGGTGATGAGGGTTGTCCAGACTGTGGGTTACGGTTAGCTTTGGTGTTCACAGGGGGGGGGGATTCATCGTTTGCGACAATGCGACATCATTGGCAGCATTGGCCTTTGAGAAAGCAAGTGAGATGGCGGAGGAAACAATGCTTCAGTCTCATGTTTCCTTGCGTTGCGACATGCGAGGTGGAAGGGCGCAAAAAAGAAAAGGGTATTACAAACCCTTGTCCGAGTCTACGGCGCGTTTCCCGTCCGACATATTGGCGGCAGTGGTGGGAGTGGTGGTGTCGGTGATGATCGCCACGATTGCGACTTTTGCCTCACTTTTTCCAGAGAGACCTTATCTTTTGCGACTGGTTGCTTTGTGTGTATGCGCGCCGCGCGTGCGTATGTGTGTGTACGTGCGAATCTGGCGGGGCAGATTCCGATGGTGGAGGCGGGGTAGATCTCGAGATAACACGCTCTCTCTCTCACTCGAATGGCCAGCAGCTTGTAGCTATTTCAAACCCAGTGGTATCGTGGCTGTCGGAATCACCGGGATGGTTTACTTGGTGAGCTTCCTTCTGCGGTATCGCGGTTCTTCTTTGCGTTCGTTGGCGTTGGGCGTCCGTTATCGTCAAGCTTCCTTAGTGATGTAGATCAGAAGTATGAGAGGGAGGGAGGAGGAAGCTGGAGGAGTAAAGGAAGAGAGAAAGATGGAGGAGGGAAGGGACGGGAAAGGGAAAAAGTCGATTCACGAGATTAGCATTTTCACGGGAATGCAAAGTAGTACTCAATGGCAACTGCTAATTTAGTGTTTAGCCAAAGGTACCTCAGCTTCCCTTCCCTCCTTCTCCTCCTCCTCCTCCGTCACCTAGCTATCCTCGTTACGGGATTACGGATACAAAAAGGAACAAAGCGCAAGCAAAACAACAAAATAAAAGCCCCGAACGGACCACGAGTCATCCCCACGATGTGGTATTGGACACGCCCAAAAGGACCCAAAGGGAACTTTTTGCCAAAATAGGTCCCCTCCACCTTACGGAGTCTTCGCCGGGCCTGCTTCCTGGTCGTGGCTCACAGTCCTAGGCTGAACCGGGGGGTTGGAAGAGAGGAATCGCTGATAAACAGCGACTGATTCCGATCGGCCGTCATATCGATGACGCCATCGTTATTTGGAAAATCGCGGATGCCCGAGTACTTGAGTGCCTAGAGCATGGGGGAAAGACTATTACAGCTGAGATTGCTTACAAAACAAAACGGATCCCCCAAGACAAAAGATGGCACAAAAAAAGGTATCCGTTAAGAGAGCGGGCCGGAGAGATTCGGACTTACTCCTCTTCGGGTCCTCCACTCAACCTGAACTCTGTCTGGGTGGTGGTCAGAGAGAGGTGACTCGTCAATGGTGGATGGTGGTGGTTGCGACAAAAAGGGCGTGGAGCGAATGAATGACAACTATCCGTATCCGTTCTTAGTATCTTTCTATTCTGTTTTCTCGCATGGATTAACATGGCACAATAAGAAATTGCCCATGTTCATAAAAGAGGGGTCGCTTTCCCATGACTTCCGGCTTTGCCAATGTGTGAGAGTCATAGACTTTGTGGTATCCATAAGGATACCATTCGTCCTTCTCGGCTACCTTACCTTAGGTCCTAAGGTATTTGCCCAGAATTAATACGGCAAGACACACAAAACGGCAACTTATTATAGAGTTCATCCCTGCATCTGACACCTCTAACCTAATGCAACTGCGTTGTTTCCCGGACCGGACCTGGAGCAAACAAAGGGCTGGGCAACTCACTTCTCAACAAAAAGACAACATTGTCAGCCCTATTTTCAGCAATGCGTTGTGGTTGTTAAGCTGTCCCCGTCCCCGATTCCCGACTTCCGTAACTTGTCCCATCATCCCATGACACTGCTTCATCTCCCATCGCTACTCCGTACTCATAGTCAGAGCTTCCCTCGTCGCAAAAAGAACTTGTCGCAAACTTCGCAAAGAGCTTCGGGAAATCCCCCAAACCCTTGCAGGGAGCCACGCAGCTTCGTCAACGCGCGGCTTAGATCGGACGGCGCAACCAATAACAGAGCTCGACGCCCGTTGACGTGCTTTTGCGATCCCGGGCCACCCAGCCCAGCAGCCAGCTGCATCCAGCATGTGCGCACTGCTGCGCGCGCGCGCGCGCGCGTGAGAGCGAGGCGCATCTGTTGGTATTTGCATAAGCTACCTTCTCTTACGGATTAGGTACTTCGTACCCCTCCCCTCCTCTCTGTGGAGAAACATCGGTTTCCGAGATTCCGGCATCAAAAACGCCGATTATCGTCGCGGTGATTATCTCTGCTCGTCAAACCTCGCGAAATGCCTGAAAGTCACCTTCCTCTAATAGAAGAAAGCATCCACCCTTCCCATAAGTACCGTCAAAGTTCACTTTGTCATCTGGGGTATATAGTTGACTATATGCGGCCAGCTGTCACCATTGTACAATGCCTTGGAATATCGCAAATGGATACATGAGTGAGAGTTTGACGAACCTCGGTAATTAGGTTGATTTAATAGTCGCCAATTGCCGTCTCTGGGCAGGCAAGCTTCGCGGATTATAATGAAATCAACCACATGGCTTGTCAAAATATTCGTCTACTCTCACGAGTTGTCACAGGTGTCGTGAATGGAATGCGGCTGCTTCTTCTCCAAAACCTTTTGGCTAAAGACACAGCATTGCTCATTAGGAACAGTCTAAACCAGATGCACAGTATCCGAATTCACTCACATTGTCTCAAAGAACTCTTGATGTCTTTTATAATTAAACTTTTTTTTTTTTTTCCCCTTTTCTACCTTTTCAGCTTTCACTATTCCAACACGCATGTCATCTGCTAAGCTGATTATCGCGAATAATGTGTACCGGCAATGATGCCACTATCACATGTCTCCTAAGCGTCAAATACTGATGACAAGGGCGCCGGAAATTGCGCGTCTCGGGCCTCTTGTCTCATCCGACGGTATGTGCTTTTTGAAAAGACGGTTCGATAGCAATGGTGGTGATAAAACAGTGGCGACAACTACATTTTCTCCCTCAATGTTCTTCTAGATCCAGACAAGGTTTTGTTGCTGAAGCGTGACCCTTCACGGCTGGACTGTGGTCACTTTCAAACTGCAAGTGAAGATGAGTTTAAACGCAGCGCCCGGCTCAAGGATACCTAGATGTTCTAAGCCGGGAAAGGGGGGAGAAGATATTTGCGTAGCTGGGATTCTCGATATCGAGGCTGTGAAGCTCTCTCTATTACTCTCAGTATATGTCTTTAAAAATCCTAAACGCCGTGGGGTATCTCATAGCCGTTGCCCAAACGCCATCAAAGCTCATCATCATCACTGTCATAGATGAAAATCGGCGTCCGCTTGGGGCCACCGCCGTTCTCGACCTTGACCGTCGGCTTCTTCTCCGCGTCGTCTTCCCTCTTGACGTCCTCGTCCTCCGTTTCCGTACTGCCGTAATCGATCGTCAAGTTCTCCTTCTTGGCCTCAACCTTGACCTTAACCCTAGGCTCATCCTTCACCTCGACCTTGACCTCCTGCTTCACAGCCGCCTCCTCAGCCCGCGTCTCCGCCTTAACAGTCTCCTCAGCCAAAAGCTTGCCCTCGCGAATCTTGTAAAACGCCTCCAAGCAATTCCGTCTCTGCGCCTGCGTCCAGCTGCCGACGACAAGCGCAAACTCCGTAGCCGTCGCAAACCCGAACTCGCGCGCCATGGAGCAGAATTGCCGTCGCATGGCATCCTCTGGCGGATTATAAACATACGAAAAGCCCTTGAGCTTCTGCGCCTGGGCATCAAACATCTGACTATCCGCAAATAGCGCGCTGTCGCCCTCCCCCTCGATATCGGAGCTGGCGGCCATCTCCGCCTTGCGCGAAAGCTGCTCCTCAATCTTGGACGTGCCAATCACTTCCGAGTTCTCGTGCGTATACTCGACGCCTGCCGAAGACAGGATAGCTTGGACGGCATCGCTTTTGGCCTGTTGGTTCTTTGCTTTTTCGCCACCAGCTTTTGCGGCCAGGAAAGCTGCGAGCTGGCCCATGTCGCCGTCTTCCGAGGCATCTACCGCACCCTCTAGCTTCACCTTGCTCAGATCCTCGCCTTCCTCCTTGGCGAGCTTCTCCATGTCGACGGTGGTCATTGCGATACCGGTCCCGGCTTTCGCTTCGGCGATGTTGGTCTTGTTGACAATGTCACGGATCACGAGCTGGTTCTCGCGGTACGTGAAGAGGTTCTCCAAACCAAAGATTTCTCCTTTGCGTTCAGAGTCCTGCTGGACACCCTTGAAGTAGCGACGTTCGGATGAAGCTGTATAGCCAATGTTTGCCTGCTGCTGCTTGTAAATCTGTCTTGCGTAAACAATCTCCTCAATGGTTCCGGTAGAGACGAGTCGGAAGACATCCACGTCCCGGACTTGGCCGATACGGTATGCTCGATCTTGGGCCTGGAGATCGTACGATGGATTCCAATGAGGATCGACAATTACTACCTTATTCGCGGAAGTGATGTTCAGACCAACACCACCAGCTTTGGTCGAGATCAGAAAGACGAACTGAGTCGGGTCAGAGTTGAAGTCGTCCACAGCCTTCTGTCTGTCCTCGTAGCTGATCGAACCATCCAGATATGTGACACTGTAGCTGGTGTTATGGAAGAGATGCTGAAGAATGCGAAGCAGGCGAACACTGTGCGAGAAGACCAATACTTTGTCGCCGCTGTCATGCCAGAACTTGAGGAGCTTCTTCAAGACCTTCCACTTGCCGCAAAACTCCGGATTAGCCAGGTTCATGATCGCATCCCGGTTCTTGTAGAGGTATTTCCATGTATCTGGACAGCAGGTCTTAAGCGTGCGCATTTCTCTCTTGTGTTTCTCATCTTGCTCGTTCCCAGTAGCAGGAATCAGGAGGGTGAGATGATTTGACAGTTTCTGCAAAGTCGTCACGCTGGGAAAGATGATGGACTGCCAACCCGTGCCATCGTCAAGCGTTTTGCGACAGCACCAGCCTTGCTTGTTGCCGGAGCCACATTCGCATGGATCGGATAGGGTGCGCAAAAGTTCGACATCAGGCCTACTGATGAAATTCTTGTACGCTTCCTGCTGCTGGTCCGTGAGAGGGCAAAAGACGACTCGATCGCTCTTCTTGGGCAGCTGGTGAGCGATTAGTGTCTTCATCCTGCGCAAGAAGAAGCCGGGGAGCAAATTCGTGACAAGCTTCCTAGCGGTAGTTCGAGCGTCCCGCAGTTGGTTCAAGGTCGCATCGTGGGACTGGCCTCGCGTCAGAGGTCTAGTGATGGTGGTGTTCCATTCCGATAGAGTGCCAAAATGGCCAGGGTTGGTCCAGTTCAGTAGAGTCCAAAGTTCTTCGTACTTGTTCTGGATCGCCGTACCCGTCAAGCCGATGCGACACAGCGCGTTCACGTCGTTCATTGCTTTGGTAACTTCGGAGCTTCTTTCCTTCATTTGATGGCATTCGTCGGCGACAACCGCGTCCCACTTGACAGTGTTGACCAAGCTCTTGTGATTCTTGTACGTCGAGTAGGTTGTGATCATGATCTCTATCCGCCCGGCTCTGGCAGCGGACAGCACATCCTCCTTCCCCGCGCCGTGGAAAACGTCAACCTTCCACCATCCCCAGCGGTTCAACTCGTTCTTCCAATTCTCGATGATGGAGCCTGGACAGATGATCAGAACCGTCGGATACCAGCGACCAGATACGTCGCGCATCTTCTTGAGCCGCTTCTTGTCACGCTCATCGGCGGTTTTGCCAAAAGCTGCTGTAAGAAACGTCGCAACCTGGACAGTCTTGCCGAGGCCCATGTCATCTCCGAGAATCCCTCCCCTCTGGTAGACGAACAGACGGTGCAGGAACCTGACGCCAACAATCTGGTACTCACGCAAGTACTGCGCGATAGACGCCGGTATTATACCTGCCGAATACTCGAGCTCGACATCTTCGTACGGCCTGCAGGGCTTGATCTTTGTGCTCTCGTCGAAATGGGGACGCCTCTCAAGGTTTTCCGGTCGATCGTCTTCGGAGAATATGACGTCCGAGTAGTCCGGTGGTAATAACAGCCCTGCCTCCTGCAGTCGTTCCCGGGTCTGATCGAATTGTTTCCTTCGTTCTTTCAGATAGTCTGGCGCTTCCGCAACATCTAGATCGTCCTCCTCTTCGGTATCATCGATCTTGACTACGCCGTTCTTCTTGGATGGGCGCCCCTTGCTCTTCGCCTTATCTTTCTTCCCCTTGCCAGTCGCGGCGCGCCGCCCCTTTTGCTTCTTGGACTTGGGGAGTTCCAAGTCGGAATCGGCGTCCCAAACCTCCTTCTCCTCAAAATCGACGTCAACCTTTCGCTTCCCGAGGGCTTTCTTGCTGGGATGCCGAGGTTCGTCGATTTCCAAGACTGTCTCTCCATCTGAAATTACTATCGCATTCTTCTCGACCGGTCGGGTCATAGTGGTTGCGGTCGCATAAATCGCATGGCATCATGGGTGAGAAGGCAAAGTGCGAGGATGGTTGGGGTTTAAGAGTGACGCGACAGGACGCGACAGACAAGGTATTAGCACCTTGGACGAAAGTTTCCAGGTGCCACAGGCCCAGGCAGCGCTGAAGGATGCGGGGGGAATGCAACCGGAGATGTCACTGCCTCTTTTCAACGATACCACCGTCTTAGTGAGTAATCGGAAAATCATATCCTTCAAAACACTATGAGCCATCGATTTACTCTGCAACTCCGTGAAGGGCCGGGATTATGGGGCATCCGGAGCTCATCCCGCCGGCCAAGATACCGGCGGATTTTTCGGTGAGCTTTTTCAAACTCCTCAAAACTTGTGGTCTGCTCTTACGGGTTGGTAAGTCATTGCGAGGGTTTCAGCTGCATCGCATAGCTCAGAAGGACAGTCTCACCTTGGGGTCAAGCTTGAAACTGTGTGTCTGCTTGGCTTTACAAGCCTCTGAGACGGGTAATACCATACTAGCACGTATGCGGGGACTTCTGCTCAATTATCATACCTAGAGTGGGCTTTGCAGTCTTCAGCATCCGATACCTGACTTCTTTCCAGCATGGAAAACACGAGAAGGATATCTCACATGATCCGCATCTTGGGCACCCAAGGCTCATCAAAATGTACTGCATTCTGAACATTTCTGATCGCTTAAATTCTCTCTAAATTTCTGCGGCTTCCTGGCCTCGCCATGGGTAGTCAAATCGTTGAATTACAGCAGCTTGTTCTGGCCTACTCAGTCTCCAGTCTTCAACCCGTTCTGTTTCTCCATTTGGGTATCATTGTGTACAAAATTATTCATAATGGGGTATGCCTCAATGTTCCAATGCCAAATTACCCGCCAATCATCTTGTGCTCAAGACTTTGTCACTCATACCGTCTCAATGCCTTTGAAACTTTTCGTGCTCGTATCGCCGCTCTGCGTTTCCAGCTCGTAGGCTTCTCTACCATCTTTATTGTAGGAACCCGCACGCTCGGCATATTCATTTCGATACCCTGCCTCTTCCAACTGCTTCGCCGCGCTGGGGCTGCGCAACACATCCCCTTCCTCCTCATCAATATACTTGAGAACCATCGTCCCCAGCCAATTGCCAAACCTAGCATTATTAGGAGGCGTCTTCGGACCGCGTAGCCGATCGTAGTAGTCTCGAATATACGGGCCACGACGCCAAAACGCCCTCGTAAACAGCGGGCTCAGGACCGGCAGGGTGACGGTGATGAGTCCGACGGCGGTCTCGCGGAAACCCCAGCGGTTGATGTTGATGACGGAAGGTGCGCCGCCCAAGGTCGTAACCGCTCGAACGATGGCAGTCGAAATGACAAAGATGCCGGACGAGAGCAGGATGCCGACGCCGATTTTGCGTCTCAGGGACACGCGGAGGTGCCAAAGGATCGGAACGGGGATGGAGAGGAGGGCGGCGTCGGTTAAAACGTTGAGCCACAGCAGCATCCAGAAGTTTTGTGGTCGAAAGGTGCACTCTGGGCCCGGCAGAGGCCGGATTCGCCAGTTGTCGGAGTAGCTGTTCGAAGTGTCAACAAAGCAATCGCGGCTTTCACAGGGCGACCTACGGTTGACAGCTGAGTGTCACAGTGAGACATAGGACGATGTATGATAATCCGCAGATCCAGAATAGCGCGACCAGACTTCGTCTTCGTAGGATTCCGAGTGTTAGACGCTTGTAGAAGAATAGCACGGTGAATTTCAGGACCCCTAAGAATTCTGGTTTAGGCCAGTGTGTCAACTTGGGTGTAGGGAAGGCTTCTTACAGATGCAGCCTTTAATCAATGTTATTAATCTCAAATCATTTGAACATATAACGATGCGTTGGGTTACTTACCAGGGTATGTGTACCAGGACATGAACTCCAACTTCGATCCCAGCTGGAGAACTGCAGCATCGTGATCCGATAGCGACGGGACTGCATCTGGAGTAATGTCGATATTGGCCCCTGTGTAATAGCAGATTTGGACTACGTAAACATTGATGCTGTATAACACGAGATACTGCAACGCATCAATGTCATGGTCAATTTTGGTGGATGTGCTCTTCCAATAACTCACAGGTAAAGCCAAGTAGTCGTCGCCGCGGAAGCCTCGAATCCCGACGGTACGAATACGAACCGCGAATCGCAGGAGAATTATGAAGACGCCGATGGCGTACCAAGCCTGCCAAGCAATACCTATTAGCTCCAGATGTGTCGATTGTATGCCGGGTAAACAAGAGTAGAGCTTACCCAGACTTCGGGCAGATAGCTGTCGTCTTTTTCCAAGTGCACATTTGGACTTGGCTCCAACATGATCTCGTATTGATTGTGGTGAGCATCCGCATCTCGGTCGGTAGATGGTCAGTCAGAATCGATGTAGAAGCTGTGGTGGAGAAGAGCGGGCAGACATGCGACTGAGAGGAGCGATCCAAGGGCACCCCCCTCACACATAAGGAAGAAAAAAAGAGCTCGTTGCAGTTCCGGGTTAACCCCCTCTCCGGCGATCCCAAGCCGAACGAGACAATAGGCATGGGGGAATCTTGCGGGCGGACAAAGGATAGCTTCCCTGCGAAGAAATCCAAATCGAGCAAGGCTAATCGGGGGGCGCCCGGACAGAAACTCTAATTAGTGAGGTTGCCATTGGCACGTTGCTGCCACCGGCAAACGATCAAAGATCCAAGGGAGCTAAGACTTTGGACGCGGCACTCGGACCTTTTCCATCGCAAATAGCAACGTTGGTGTGAGAGTCATGACATGCTAGGTTCCAGATATTCCCTTCGTAGCTCAAGGTGCAAGAGCTGGACGACAGTCTGTACGAGATTTGACCGAGCCCGTCGTCTGGAGATGTAACCCGCCGGCTCGCCGGCTTTGTCCTTTCCGTCGTTGATCGATGGGGATCGAGTTAGTGTAGATCGGGCGGATAGACCAGTCGCCCACATCACGGACCTTTCGGGACGCCACGTGGGATCTCCCGAGTTGGTTTGCGTCCTTTCACATCGGACTTGAACGATGACACGTTGAACTTTATTATTCTGCATATGGGGCAACTGCAGCGTCTTAGAGCTTTGAGAGAGGCGCTTTGCTTGAGCCCGATCTACCGTAGACGATGGTGAAGTTCCTATTCAGCCTGTCTTGTGTACCAAGCTGCGGCTCGTCCGAAGTTCCTGGAGTCGGTTTTCCAAACGTCTGACCACCACAGCGAGCTTGGTGGCGGCAGAGAACATCGAATGCTGCTTGGCTTCCGTCTTTCTGGTAGTCTTCGTTGAGCAGCACGCCAATGAGCGCTTCTGCCACGGCCCAGAGGATGTGTCTTGCATCCCCAATGAGATCTGCTTGTGACTTTTCCATCAGAGAGTATTTAACTGCACTCCACGAGTCTACCGGTTTCAATCCATTGGGCTCTGCTACCGCATCATTTTGGGCAAAGAAGGCATCGAGCGCGTCCATGGACTCCTGTCCTCCCTTTGGATGCTTCAACGCTCGTAAGAAGTCCGTTGCGAGGACATCCGTAGTGCCTTCCCATATCGACAGCACGCAGCAATCGCGGTATAGTCTGGCAATGTTCAGATACTCGGTCTCTTCGTTCAGCATGTACCCGACACCTCCAAGAGCCTCCATGCAACTGTACAGCAGCGGGATCGACTTCTTGCAGACATATGCCTTGCAGAGCGGTGTCAGGATGCGCAAAAGAGGCGCAATATGGTTCTGGTCTGGCGTGATCGCAGCCAGAGCATCCGATAGACCGGGTCTGCCCGCCTGAGGGTTCTCGTCCAATCCCAAAATGTATGCCGTAAAAAACGTCAGTAGCATGAGACCGTGATACTCCCCAGTCATCTCTGCCAAAGTCTGCATATGTAGCGGGCTTTCCGCCAAAAGCATCCGCTGACCCCTTCCTGCGCCGACTTGTCTGACTTTGGCGTACGCCCTCGCGATAGCCAGTCCTCGGCCCACGTATCCGACAGCTCCTACGGCGGAGTGTATGCGGGTGAGCGTGAGGATGGTGCTGATCTCGTTGATGCCGCGGCCCTCTTGACCCAGGAGCCAGCCTCGCATGCCATCGAGCTCGAGCTCGGCCGTGGGAAGCGACTGCGTTCCGGACTTGTTCTTCAGTCGTTGGATCCGGACACCGTTCAGCTCCGTTCCGGCGGCGCCCTTGGGCCGTCCCGTCATCGTGACTGCCATGGGGTTGTGTCGCCTCATCGGTGCGAAGAAGGCGCTGATGCCGCTTTGCGTCCTTGCAAGGAGGACAGTCATGGCTGAGTCGGTAGCGCTGGAAAACCACTTGAATCCGGAAATTGACCACGGGCCTAGAGGGATGTTCTCCGCCGCGTTTGCGAGCGCCGTTTCCGAGGACGGAGTGTGCTGGGCAACTGTTTCGGTGAGAGACACATCGCTTCCGCCGGTCCGCTCCGTCATCCACTGCCCGCTGGTCCAGGCAGTTGCTGGATCCCGTGACAGGAGATGTTGAAGAGCGTTCTCCAGTGCCTTTCGTTGCGTTGGTTCGATGTCTCTAGATAGGTGAAGCTGCAGGAGCCGAGCTGCACCATCTTGCATAGCCGATGGGCAGGTGACGTTCGAAGCCGAACTCCCCCATAGGTGAATCCTCAGGAACTGGACGACGCGGGCGGATGAGCCGAGTGAGACGTCGTACCCTGTAGCGACGATGCCCTTTTTGATGCCAAAGTCCTGCAGGCTGCGCCAGCCTTCGCCGACGACCAGCTCGGATGTGGGCCGCCCAAAGGAATCACGGCCGCTGCCCTTCAGATAAGGCTTGTTCTTCTCCGAGTCTGTGATCCAGGAGAAGACTTGGTCGGATAGCACATCCTCGCCTAGTTGCGCAATGTCGACCTCGACACGCTGGATAATATCCTTGGGTAGGAATACTAGATAGGTTCAGCAACATGGGACGAAGAGAATTCACTGAGTGGGTACGTACGCCTCAAGGATCTTTGGAAGCTGGCATCATCGAAGAATTGGTTCGGCAGAACCGGGAGTTCCTGGAAAAAGCCGGTATTCGAACTAGATGGTTTCATGGCGAGGTGTCTCGAACGCTAGGATCTTTGGCAAGCGGTCAGGATGGTTGTGAACTTGAAAGACTTGAAGACTGCCTTGATACTCCTAAAACCTCAGGCGAACTAGAAACAGGTGTATGGCTACAGAACCCCAGATTCACACCAAGATGTACCCCAGATTTTGGGCCAGGTGAGACATCCACGGGGCCGGTAACTTGTGGGGTTGCCGAGGGACTCCACAGAGCAGAAGCCGACGATGGACCCACAAAGTGCCGAGAGAGAGCCGCTGGGGCCGATTGCTGTCTCGGCCGAGTCTCGGCCGCGATCCCATCTCTGTGAAGCATTCCCATCCCATCTTGATACAAAAGCCAAGCTTCCTGGCGGTCGGTCCAATATTGATCCCTCAAGCTGGGTTCCTCTGGCAAGCTCGGCACGGAAGCTCGCATCTCTGGTCTTGGACAACATCATATCCCCAATCGAACGCGTTGACGCGATCCACTCACCGCCAGATCGAGCCGACAAGCCTCAATCTCACAAACTGGGACCATCGCCGGACATGCGTTTGGCCCTACGTAATAATGAAGGGCCAGCTCTGCCTGCATACCGGCATTCTAGTAAAGGTAGCGTCGCTTAGCGCTCCCAGAGGCCCGCTTGAAGATTAGCAACGCCGGCACGGCGAGACGATGCTACCAGAAGCAAGCGCAATAGTCCTGAATCAATCACCAATGTCCGACCGGGCATCCAGAGCTAAGGTAGGAGAAATTGGTTTCATTTGCGGGTGGGAGACAGCTCATGAGGCTTGTCGTGTGGCTGAAGCTGTGGTTGGGCGAGGCCTTGGACGCCTGCAATGTTGGATGTGACTGTGACGTCACACTCACCTTGTTCGGTGAGGACCTGATTTTCTGGTGCCATCTGGGACAAATGGAACGACACGACGTTCATCAATGATCAGCCACATCTGGCCAAACATGTCGCAAGGCGCTGGCCGCGTGACGGCCCCCCTCTCAAAATGACACCTAAGCCTGCTTTTTCCCTTGCTGATCTGGGGGAGTCTGGAACCAGTTGAGCCACAGCGATCGCCACACACGTCGCAAGCCAATTCGAAGGGCGGCCTCTTGTAAGTCACATTCTGGACGATGCCGGAGTCCCGATGTTGCGCAAGTATTACTCATTCTTGCGTCTGTCGGTCCGCAGAGAATTACGGCACAGAATGCCTCCGTTAGTCGAATCGTTGAACGAAGTCACGCTGGTTGGATTCCACCCTTCCAAGAACCCCAAGCCGCGATGTGCTACAGCCTACATGATGATTGTTGTTTTCGCCCATGGTAGTTCGACCTAGTGATCTCGGCCTTGTTAGCCTTGCAATTTACTTTCTTCTGCCCAGGAAGCCGTCGCATTGGCTGACGGCATTCGAAATTTTGCCAATCTTACACCAACAAGCCTAACCGCCAGCCAAACACCCCCAACGGTTATCTAAAGAAAAAAGCTCGACAAAGGGGCAATCACCGCGCTTCCTGCAGTGCAGGACAAGGATCGTAAGTATCGTGGCCCCGGGAAAAGGCTTGTTTCAAACTTCACGACCAGGATGGCAGACAACCACATCCTATCAGAGTCATGCTAGCCTGACATTGTCTGTTCCTCTGGCCATTCCAGCCCCCGGTCTGATGACCTCACAAGGCTGGGCGGAGAGAGGCAGCAAAGCCAACACGGACTCCCGAGAGCGTGCCACGAAGCCCCAAACCCTGGTGACGTTTCTTTTCTAGCCGGTCCCGCCCTTGTTCCCTCCCTCCCTTTTCTCGCGTGTGCTACGGTGCCGGCAGAGGAGGAGCCTAGGAAGTATCTTATCTTGGCAGGGACTCTGCGCGTGTACCGCCGCCGTCCTGCAGCAAAGGTCTCGGGACTTGTGTAGTTACACATCTCTCCTTAGTTAGACAACCCTTTTTGTTGCCCTTTGCGAGATGTTGTTTGTCACAAAATGGGTAAGCCCAGCGGTTTAGTCAAAAAGTATCGGCACATCCAAGCCGTGATCCAGACGCGTCTGCTGTGCTCGGCGGTGACGAGAAACTCTGCAGACCCAGACCCCAGGACCATGGCCTACCTACCTAACCCAAACCTGCTTTCCCATCAGATCGTCATCCTGATGTGACTCTCTCCCTACTGGTGCGTGTCGCACGACTCTCCTTCAGCCTATCCTGAGGAGAGGTTGATAAATAGAGTAATATCATCTCATACTTCTCCCTTCCACTCTGACTCTTCATCCATCCGACAACACGATCAGCAGACTTTTTCCGTGCGACAAACCCCCCATCATCCCAAGCCGCTCCAAGCTTCTCTCATAACAGCTTCTAAGCTTGTAAAGAAACCACTGTCAGATCACAATGGCGATCGACCGTATCGTGCAGTTCGTCCTCCGCGGAGCTCAGCTGGTGTTCGCCGCCATCGTGGCTGGTATCACCGGCGCCTACCTCCACGCGACCCAAAACACCTCGTCGTGGGATAATGGCAGATACATCTACACCATCGTGGTGGCCAGCTTGTCGCTTCTCTTCGCCTTGATATGGCTCCTCCCCTTCTCGGGAAGCTTCATCCAC